GAGTGATAAAATCGGACAAGGGTTAATGAGGTTTTGTTTTAGCGTTTCGTCGAAGCTAATCATTTTTAGAATAAAGGTTTTAAGAAAGTCGCAGATATTCACAAAATAATTTAATATATTCTTATTGTTTAGAAATGCAACAGTTTGTTCTTTTTCTTTTTTTTTTTTTTTTGGGATCTCAATTGAGTATATTTGTTTTGTCTAACAAACCTATATTTTGAGTCCTTTACAGTTCCTAAATTCCCAACTGACTGCGTTTGTAAAGTCATCAACCAGTTATGTCTAATATAAAATTCGAAAAAAATGTTTTTCAACCTCTATCCACCAAATGCTGAATGCAGGGGGCCAATCGCGCTAATTGTCAACGGTAAAACCAAAACTAAACCAAAAACGAAACGTGTCGCTAATGTGACACGTTGCGCACATTTGCTATCGCGCTAATTATCAAAGTAAAACTAAGACGTTGCCAATTGGTATTGCGCTACATAGGTCTCTTCTATTACTTCCAGTCTTGTGCCTTTTATCATTCAATATTTCCCCGCTCCTTTAACAAGGTCTTTAGGAAGTCCAGCGTATAAGTAGCCTACCTATTAAGGCTATCATCCCGGGAATCTTGGTCTAGAAAAATTCGAGAATCTCTACAATTTTTCGGCTTATTCGAAACTCGAGACTGATGTTTTTAGTCCGCGTGGCACCACTACAGAGTTAAGCTTAGTACCTACAATCTGTGAAGATTGATGAATGATAGTAATAAAATCGAGTCATCTTCTCTGAAACGATGTTAAACGCCCTTTGTTTCTCACGTACCCACTACAAAAATGAAAAAAACTTTCGTGAATAATTTAAGATTAATTAAAACTTTAGAAAATAGTTTTACTGTTTAGTTGTACTGAATGAACTGCTGTAGAATAATCATTTAGGCCTGGGCTTAGGCCAACATGAGGCCTTGTACTTGTACAGTAAGAACTGTCGATGAACGTTGTTTGTAGAAGAAACTCCAAGTGGAGCAATTAGATGAGGCATAGTTTTCCTGCTCCATCTCTCTTAATGAACACCAAAACAGTATGGAACATCTCCAATGTCTACTTTGATTTAAGTTGAGAATCTGGCGTAATATCACAAGCCAACGTATTGGCGAATCTCAATGCGCGCCGACACGAGCATGACTTCGCGCAAAATTCGCCCCTACTAAACAAGGCCTTAAAAGTCACTGTTCGTGATTAATGTTCGTGTTGTCAAAATTTGAGAAGCCTCAAACATCTATTCAATTCTGAATTTTCGTATAAAATTGCTTTATATTCGAGTACGTTGGCTAGAGTTGGGTACAACGGTATTAACTCATATATACAGTAATTTGTGCGGCGATATTGCACCTTTGGTGATATAAGGCCACATTGGCGTACGGATAACCTTTTAGGAGAGATTTGAAATTTCTACGAATGAAATTTTTGTGCTTCAATTGGAAAGTTATACAATTTTACATATACACACATCGAAGATGTCTAGGGATTTTTGACGTTTACCCTATTAAAATTAGGTAAATATTTTTTTATTTATTTATTAAATTATGAAATTGGACAAAAAATCAATTAACACTTTTGACGTGTGATCACACGTGACTTTATTATTATAACAAGGTACGTACGGTACATATGGCACTAAGTGACTATGCCTTTATTACCGCAATGACATGTACCTGGGGATTCCATACAAACCAAAGCCATGCTGTCTCGTAGCGCTGCGACAGGTATCATAGGAAACAATGATTTGATTACTAATAAAACAAATTTATAAATCACGCATTATCATTTTATTACAGAGTGTGGCAGCTAGGCTCCGCTATGTGTCAATTAATATAACATTAATTGACAATAATATAAATTATTCTTAAATTTCATGGGTACAAAAATAAAAATTAAATGTAAAAAATTACTATCTACATACATAATATGTTATAGGTGAATGTTATAAAGTTAATATAAAAAAGAATATGATTTTTTTAAGAAAAATAAATGTAATAAATAAATAAACTCTACCCTTTTTATCTAGTAAGACGTCTATCTAATTTCTGAGCAACGAATTAAAAAAGAGCACTAAAAGTTCGGGTTATGCCAATTTCAAGTGTGTTTAAGCAAGATTGGGCTTTATTTCATTGGTGTAGTCTCCTGTTGTTTGACCAAACGTTTAATTTTCAGCAAGTATCTAATTAGAAAATACCGTCTCTGACTGTCGCATTTGGAAAATTTTTCGAGCCAATATATTTTTGGCTTGAAATTTATGGTATTAACGAGTGACATACGTAACAATATATAAAAATGATTGAGATCGTTAGTGTAGACTGTTGGCTTTTGCGAGCTGAAGAACATAGAACGTTTTACTCAGTTACGATAAAATGTCAGCTATGACAAAATGTCAGCTATGACAAAATGTCAGCTATGACAAAATGTCA